ACGTCTCTGCCTTTGGCTGATCTTACCTGTACCCTTTTCCTGTAATAAACCATAACCATGAGTTCTGTGCATCCTTCCACAGAACCTGAGAGTGTTTTGCGGAATGCTGAACTTGCAGTAGGTTTAAGAAGTGAGGTTAGTCTTGGGGACCATACAAAGTACTGTACAGTACAATGCAGTTTGGCTAACTCTGGATACGGGGTTAATTAAAATATATTATTAAAATTAATTTTATGTGTTTCTATTTCCTTCTTTAAATACGGCCACTGGAGGATTTAAAATTACATATACAGGTCACATTTGTGGCTTGTATTAAATTTCTGTTAATGCTATATAGAGAGTGCCTATGTTTATTTGTCTTCCTTTAACTACCTTTCTAAATGAAGTTTGAGAAAACACAAGTTTAGAACACATTTTTAGCTCAAAACTACATTTACCTACATAAATTCTACATACATAAATATTTTCCCTTTTGAAGTCACAAGAGCAATCAGAAACAAATGCCATAATTCTTTCTGATCTGGGATTATTGAAATTTGACTCTGGTTTGAAAATTATTAGGTAGGATTAACTAAACTACAACTTGAGCCAAGCTTTCTTACCAAAATAGAGAACATAAAATTAAAAACTACAGATGACAATTCTATAATAAAGAGCAAAACTTAATTGTTCAATAACTGTATCACTATTCAGAATACATAAAAAAATGTTTCTCTGAAATAATTATACAAATATGGCTGAATAATGAATTATTACATTATTTATACATATTTTTTATTTGCAAAACTGATCAAATATAAGTATTGAGCTGAACTTTATTGGAAAATCATCCACCAAATACAAAATGGCATATTAAAACAAGCATCACTTTCAAATTTAATAACTAATCCTCATCTTTTAAACTATAAAAATGAAATCCTCCCTTCTTTTATTAGCTTTGTTATAGTGCTTCCTACATCATCATCTAAGACCAAACAACTTTTGCTGCTTTCTCAAATTTTTCCAAATGCCTCATTACTTTACTTGGAAGAGGATCTTTTTGAGAGCAAGCACTGCTGACCCAGGATTGGCGTGGATATGTTGTGGCTGGCCGCCTGTGTTTGAGAACAGGAGTGATGGGCACATGGTCAACTTCACTCCGAGATGCATGATGGCCCTTCTCAGAGCACACTATTAAGACATCGTCACTACTGCCACCAACCCTGCCCAAAACATAACTGATCTAAGCATTGAGTGCTGTTTTCTTATCATTACATCCAAATGTTAAGCTTACCTAAGAATAATGGTTGCCACACTTCAGCTATCACACGGATACGAATGATTCCCAGGGCTCTATCCCCAAGTGCACCCTCTTCTGAGGATGGCCCCACATTTTTAGCTATATTCTAAGTATTTACCGCCTGAGTCCAATATTTGTATCTCATTCAATATGTCTGAAACTAAATGACTCAGTTTCTCTCACTTTCTCGCTGAACTTTATTGGAAAATCATCCACCAAATACAAAATGGCATATTAAAACAAGCATCACTTTCAAATTTAATAACTAATCCTCATCTTTTAAACTATAAAAATGAAATCCTCCCTTCTTTTATTAGCTTTGTTATAGTGCTTCCTACATCATCATCTAAGACCAAACAACTTTTGCTGCTTTCTCAAATTTTTCCAAATGCCTCATTACTTTACTTGGAAGAGGATCTTTTTGAGAGCAAGCACTGCTGACCCAGGATTGGCGTGGATGTGTTGTGGCTGGCCGCCTGTGTTTGAGAACAGGAGTGATGGGCACGTGGTCAACTTCACTCCGAGATGCATGATGGCCCTTCTCAGAGCACACTATTAAGACATCGTCACTACTGCCACCAACCCTGCCCAAAACATAACTGATCTAAGCATTGAGTGCTGTTTTCTTATCATTACATCCAAATGTTAAGCTTACCTAAGAATAATGGTTGCCACACTTCAGCTATCACACGGATACGAATGATTCCCAGGGCTCTATCCCCAAGTGCACCCTCTTCTGAGGATGGCCCCACATTTTTAGCTATATTCTAAGTATTTACCGCCTGAGTCCAATATTTGTATCTCATTCAATATGTCTGAAACTAAATGACTGAGTTTCTCTCACTTTCTCCCTCTACATCCCTTCCTTGAAGTCTTACAATAAGTACTGATAAAAATGTTACGTGAATACTCTTGAGCCCCTCTTTATTTCTTCTCTACTGGCTCTGGTCTTCCAACACAAAAATTACTTATAATATGGTGCTTATATAAAAAAAAAATGTCTTTATCAAGGTGCATTTACATGTGAAGTGGCATGATATCTGTGATTTTTCTTAATTATTCCAGAAAAAATAGTGTATGTTTGTGTGTGTGTGCAGGGGTGGGGTAGATAAATAAGACCTGAGGAATGGTAAACTGGGCGGTGGGTACGTAGGGGTTCACTCTACTATTCTTGCTACTTTTGTGTAGGCCTGAAAATTTCTCTAACAAAAAGTCCTGCAAAGTGAGCCATTCCTAGCAAGTTCAATTCAACAAATATTTATTGGACACAAGGTAGTATGTTATCCTCTGGGGATGCACTAGCGGCCATATCTTGTCCCTTTCTTGAGGAGCTCCCTACCCCATGAGGAAAAAATTTAAGGAATGCTCTAATCACTAGAAAAATTTCTGCCAACTGCCCAAGTCTGAAAAACCATAGTTTGTCTGTCAGCTATTCTTTCAGGTGAAAAATGGTGTTAAAAAGCGGTTTAGTCCAGTTTGCATCTCAAGACAACCGTCATACTTCACTTAGTACGCAGCAGAAGTGCTTCATGCAAACTTTCTGTTTCATCACTCCGAGTGACATTAAAAAAAATGTATTCAAAGTGTACTAGTACATTTCTGTTGCTCATAACAAAATCCTTGTAACTGGATAATTTATAAAGAACACAAAATCTATTGCTTACAATTTCAGAGCCTAGGAAGTCCACAGTATAGGGAACACATCTGGTGAGGGTCTTGGTGGTGGCAACAGTGACCCAGGAGTCTCACATGGCAGAAAATGGTAGAGCAGAGAGAGAGAGACTCTCACATGCTCTCATTTTAAAGCCCTCAGAACCACACCCAAAATTTTTTAAAAATGTATTATTCCCATATGTTTCTGAATGTTCTAAGTGTAAGTTGAGTTTTAAAATGAAAGAATATGGCTAGCAAATTAGCTTGCTTGGGAGAGTGTGGTGCTGGTAACACCAAGGTCACAGGTTCGGATCCCCATACTGGCCAGTCACCAAAAAAAAGGTAAAATGAAGAAATATGCAGGTTTTTTGTGGTTTAAATATTAAAGGAAGTATTCTTTTGACTTCAGTGAAATGCATATAATGAGAAATTAAATTATCTCTTGAAAAATCCTTTTCCCAATGTACCTTTCCATGTTCACATCTAGAAGAAAGCCATTCTCCACTGAGAAACACAAACATTGAGTTATTCTGAGCTTGAGCTGCCTGTTTCTGTATCCACGGTGTTAAGAATATTTATTGTTTCATTTCTTAAATATCCTCAAATCTAGAAAGAGTGAAACTCAACTCCTTCACATTTGTCAAAGACATTTATTTAAATTCGTCTCTTCCCTTGTTTACTATTTCTATTCATTAAAAAGTCTTCTTACCCTTAGCAGAACGGCCAGGAATTGCTAGCAAAGACATGCAATATGTTTACATACAGAAGATCTGTTGATTTTATCACACACACTTCAGAGAAAAGGTTTTCCCCTATGACTTCAACAGGGCATGCAGGAAATTTTTTATTTCCCTGTCCAGTGTAACAAACTGACCTTCTGCATTTAACTCCATCCATGCTGAAGTTATTCAAGTTGGAATACTTTTGTTTTCTATATAAAAGTCAAAAGTCTCAGCATTCCTCATCCATAATTTTGAATTCTAGATACTTGGGATTATATCTGAATGACAAGAGGACTCCTGGCTAGTTTTGTGAAGTGCATTAGGTGGACGGAACTGGCAACACAAACCTATGTGTAGTGGTAGGTCAGGAAGTGAATTAATATTTTAATTTACCCAGAGACCCTCAGAAGTCTATGGTCCCCACTTGAGGAAACACTGGTTTAGATAACTACCTGAACAAGACAGACGGATAGCCTAACAGGTGCAGCAGTAAAACTACAAGCCAGGAAGCTTGTTATTGTTGCTGCTGCTGGTATTGTTTTCTGAGATTGACAATTCACTAAATTGCTCTAAGAAATGCAACCTCAGTTCTCCACCTTAGAAGTGTTTGATGTGAAGGATAAACCATATGCCCACTCTGGCTGTAGTGAACCTTCACATTCACATATGTCTAATATTCTGAGCTTTAGGAAGAGGACACCAGCCCCACAAATGACTGTCCCAAGGCAGCAGTTTCCAAGTGCTAAATTTTGCAAATTGAGATTCTATAAAGAATGGGCATAGCTTGTAAAATCCCAACAGGAACAATGCCTGCAAGCAATAAGGGCATGAGCACTGTGTACAACCAATGAGGTGTTGTGCACAGCAGCTCACAACGCTGGTGACACAAGCTCACTGCAGGCCCCACTGCCTGAGAGAACAGCCTCATCCACCAGAGGAATAAGGGCATGAGCACTGTGTACAACCAATGAGGTGTTGTGCACAGCAGCTCACAATGCTGGTGACACAAGCTCACTGCAGGCCCCACTGCCTGAGAGAACAGCCTCATCCACCAGAGGAAACTGACCTTTGGCTTTTTCTCTCATTTTGCAGGCACCAGATCTATGGTGCCTCTTCATAACTCCCCACTGAAAACTCAGACACCCTCCAGCTCATTTCACTTGTCCCCTGCGTCATAATAAACACAAGAGTCAATAAATAAATTAATTTGTAGATCTACAAAGTCCTGACTCTCTAAAGCTCTTTCAATAAATAGTTCAACCTAGGAAACTACCTCTGCCTCCTGAGAGACTTTTTACTCTCAGTATATATGAGGTTGCTGCAACATTTATAGTGCAGTCTGTAAATCACCCAATCTGGAACATAAAGAGAAAACAGACAAAATTTTAAAGGATTTTGGCTATTGGGCTATTCTTTGTCATTTAGCAACAATATCAAAGAAAAAAATTAGTGAAATATTAAGAGTATCTACACACAAAAAAAAATCAATATATGGGAAACATAATACACTGTTGTGGCCACAAAAAGCAGTGCCCATGGGAATGCAGTCAGTCTGATGAGACTGCCTTTCAGTTCTCCAATTCTACAATTTCACCAGCACAACCAAAATAATAACACAATATAAACACATACCCACTGCATTTGTGCCATTTCTTTCATTGACGCTGTGAAGGCGACAGCAAATCTAGTAAATGAACAAAAATAATGGAAGCAATTAGGCCAGAATTCAGTACACATAACTGTGAAACAGCTCTTCAGAACAGATTATGACAGACAAGGTAAGACACTAAATTTAAAGCACAATCAATCTTTATTACTCATGGTCACTAGCCATTTGGTTTAATCTCTACTCACATCCAAAAAAATTGCATATGCAGGAAGTAAGCTAAATGAAGCTCAAAATTTCCTATTTTTCTTGTTCTGTCCATGCAAGTTCAGGTAAGCAGGGATAAAATCAAAATCCAGAAAGCAAGATGCAGAGGAGAAGCAAGGGACTTAGTTTTCCACCTGGAACCTCCAAGGGCAGCCTGTCCAATCCACTAGTTTTACCAAAGGAAGATGATGCGAAAGCACTCAAGATTTACTGAATGTACATGGATTATCCTTGTTAATGTCTACATTTCAAAACAGTTAAATAGTTTCTTTAGCAAATCCACAAAGGACTCCTTAGCAAGAATGTGAGGGTAATCTACTTACTAAAATTGTTTTTCCAAAAAAAAAAAGAAAGAAAAAAGAAAATTGTCTTTGTCATAAAGTACAGGACTATTAACAGATACCTTTTCATGAAAATGTATACCACATTCTCAGATGGGAAGATTCAATATTATAAAGACGTTCATTTAACCAAATTAAATGTCAAAATCAATAGTATTTCAAACAATATCTACAAGAGAATTTCCACTGGAATTTGACAAATCCATTTAAAATTTATTTATACATATAATTGGGTAAAAAACCACAAGGAAAATTTTAATAAAGAAGAATTTAGAGATGGGACTTGTATTAGCAGATACAAAAACATATTAAAAGTTAATAACTAAAATAGTGTTAAAAATAAGCTAATATAAAATAAAAGTGTCAACAGTGCAATAAAAGACAAAAAGATCAAAACCAACTACAAAGCCAGAAATAGACCCAAATATATCTAAGAATTTAATATTGCCTAAAATCAGAGAAGTGGTTAAACAAGTGGAAAAAGTTAGTTTCCTATCCCACACCATAAATCTAAAAATATGGCTCAAGAGTTAAGTCAAAAAGATAAAACTATAAGAGAACTACAAAATGACAGAAGTAAATATGCACCTGGTCTGAGCCTCAGAAAAGTATAAAATAAACTCTAAAGATAAGTTAGATTTGACTATATTAAAATTTAAAGCCAATTTAAGTACCACAAACAAATTAATATGAACATAACAATGTGAAGGAAACATGTGAAACTTATATGAGGAAAAGAGGAATAATATCCTTACTAATTGTCTCTTCACAACTAACAAGAAAGACTAACACCTAATAGGAAAAAAAGAGAAATGGTAACTGAAATTCGCATGAGAACAAATACAAGGGACCATAACACATGAGAAAAAAAGTGAAATTTTTCCAACAAAATAAATCTAATTAACACAATACGAAAGCATTTTATCACATATAAGACTGGCAAAGTTTTAAAAATGAAAATGCCTAGTGCTGACAATGGTGGAGAAATAAGTACTTCACCTACTTAGAGAAGTGCAATGGGAAAATTCTTTCTGAAAAGGAATTTTAGAAACTGTATTAAAGTATTAATATATTCATAGTATTAGACCTTGCAATTCTACCTTTAGGAACTTATTCTAAAGAAAAAAATCAGATAAGTGCACAAGGACAGAAACATTTTGTTTTCTGTAGTGATGTTTACAATAGAGAAAAATATAAATGCCCAACCTCAAAGCATCAGTTGAATAATTTATAATAGAATCGTATGCAGCTATTAAAACCATGTTTAGCACCTTAATATTATCAAATATATTCTTTTTTTTTTGTTAAATAGAACAGGTTGCATGCACCAACATACACATGATGCAAGTATCAGAAGTAGAGGAGAGAAAGGGACAGAAAAAGTATTCAAGGACATAATGGCTGAAAATTTCCCAAATTTGATGAAAAACATTAATCTACACATCCAAGAAGCTCTGCAAATTCAAAGTAGGGTAAACACAAAGACATTCACATCTAGACATATCACAGTCAAAATGATGAAAGCCAAAAACCAAGAAAAAATCTTGAAAAAGGCCAGAGAAAAATGACTCATCACTTACAAGAGAACCACAGTGAACTTAACAGCTGACTTCTCCTCAGAAATAATGGAGGCCGTGGGCCGAGCCCGTGGCGCACTCGGGAGAGTGCGGCGCTGGGAGTGCATTAGCGCTCCCGCCGCGGGTCGGATCCTATATAGGGATGACCGGTGCGCCAGTGAGCGCGGTGCAGCCGGTCTCAAAAAGGACAAAAAAAAAAAAAAAAAAAAAAAAAAAAAAGCTGGGCCAGCCCGTGGCTCACTCGGGAGAGTGTGGTGCTGACAACACCAAGGCCATGGGTTCGGATCCCATATAGGGATGGCCGGTTAGCTCATTGGGTGAGCGTGGTGCTGACAACACCAAATCAAGGGTTAAGATCCTCTTACCCGGTCATCTTTAAAAAAATGATGAGGTGTGCTGAAAGGACACAGGTGTTAACTTAATGTATCTCCAGTGGCAAAATCTGGGACAATTTAAGCACCAAAATAAACAATACAGTAATAGATAACCCATAGAAGAAAATAAAATAAATATCCATGAGTCCATATTGGCATAAATAATTGAATAAGCAAATAGGGTCAAAGGGACAACTCTTCCTTACAATAGAATTCTAACTAGTAAATGTAGAAGGCATAGTGGAAATAGAAAATCACACTAGGCAAATAACGCAGAAATAATTACTGTGGACAATTCCTCCCCACTAACTAGCATGACCCAGAAAGGGTGGGTTCTTCCCTGCAGGAGGCTCCCCTTCCCCTGCCTGTGTCTTCTCCGAGATTTCCTTTCTTCCTCCTCCCACCTCCCATGACCCTGGTACCAATCCAAGATACATCCAATCACATGTTACCCATTCAGGGAAGAAGTAAGGAACCTTCTTTTTAGGTATAATAAAGAAGGATGCGAAGGAGCAGGTTGTGTTAGATCCTGCATCTGAACCCATGTTCCCTATCCTTGAGCCACTCACAGCTGACCAGGACAAGAGTCAAGCCCCACAAGGATCATTTCACTAAGATCAGGTATGAGAGGCTCTCCATTTCTCCTGAAAACTGACAAGAAGTACAAATAAACTGAATTCTGAGGTAATAAAACTTATTCTGTGAAAATAGAATAAAAAGGAAAGAAAAGTAACTAAATAGCATTTGCATAACAATGAGCACTTCAGGGGGAGTGTATAAACCTTACTTTGTGGGAAGCTTCAAAAACAGGACACATCAGAATCACACAATTAAATAACACAAAGCAGGTAAATTGCTTGCCACAGTTCCTGGCCCCTAGTTAATGCTCAATAAATATTTTCTACTATTGCTTTCTACTGGTACCGACGCCACTATCATGACTTCTGCAAGATATTAGACCGCCCCATGTAGCCAGTGAACAGACACAGCCACAAACTTGCAGAAAAAAATCAAGACCATAAAAGAGGAGAATAGCTGCTGAGCAGGAAATACCATTAATGACACAAAAACCATGCATTTTACCTCCTAAGAGTTTTCATAGATAGATGCTCAGGGGCAATACTCAGGACAGCTTTGTAGTAAGTTAAATTGACAAACATAATTACCAGTTTCCTGGTAGAATATCAGCTCCACAAGAGCTGGGACACGGTTGTGTTCAAGGCTCCATTCCCTGCACCTACAGTAGTGCCCCACACCCAGTAAGCAGGTAGAAATATCTGCTGACTGAATCAGCAAAGAAACAAAGGAACCAAGGTAGAGTTTTATCTTAAAATCCAACAAAAAGCAGATAAGAGTGAAGGAAGAAGGATGAAGAGGTGAGGAAAGTGCAAGAAAATGCCCCTGGAGAACCAAGAGCTGACACTGTGACGTGAGGAGAGAAGGGTATCATCACACAGCAGGTTGTACTCCACACAGTAACCATCACCATCATCACCATCATGATCATCATCATGATCACCATCATCATCTCCATCATGATCATCATCACCATCACAACCATCATCATGATCACCATCAACATCATCACCATCACCACCATTATCATCATCATCACCACCATCACCATCATCATCACTGCCATCACATCATCATCATCATCATCATCATCACCATCTCCATCATGATCACCATCATCACCATATCATCACCACCATCACCATCATCATCACTGCCATCACATCATCATCATCATCATCATCATCACCATCTCCATCATGATCACCATCATCACCATATCATCACCACCATCACCATCATCATCACTGCCATCACATCATCATCATCATCATCATCATCACCATCTCCATCATGATCACCATCATCACCATATCATCACCACCATCACCATCATCATCACTGCCATCACATCATCATCATCATCATCATCATCACCATCTCCATCATGATCACCATCATCACCATATCATCACCACCATCACCATCATCATCACCGCCATCACCATCATCACCGCCATCACCATTGTCATCATCATCATCATCACCATCTCCATCATGATCACCATCATCACCATATCATCACCACCATCACCATCATCATCACCGCCATCACCATCATCACCGCCATCACCATTGTCATCATCATCATCATCACCATCTCCATCATGATCACCATCATCACCATATCATCACCACCATCACCATCATCATCACCGCCATCACCATCATCACCGCCATCACCATTGTCATCATCATCATCATCACCATCTCCATCATGATCACCATCATCACCATATCATCACCACCATCACCGTCATCATCATCATCATCACCATATCATAATCATCATCATCACCATCTTCATCATCATCATCACCATCACCATCATCACCATCATCACGCCACTGAGTAGTCACTGCTGATCATGCAGGGACCAAGGCTTCAAGAGAAGCTACAACATGGTTAGGTATGCAGAGGCAGTATGAAAATGCAGGGAAGAAGGAGAGTCTTGGACAGGTTTTCATCCACAAAGAGCGCCCAGTGTAAAAGCTTCAGGAGTCGATGAGGTGAACTTGAGTTAACACCATCATTTTTGCCAGACAAAATTCATGTATTCCAGAAAGGCAGATAATACTTTCTTGTGGCTCCTCACTGTAGAATTATCAGCCCTGACTTTATACCTACCTAATAGAGAATAGTTTACAGGGGTATCTAGCCCAAAGATCCTACAGTAATAAGGAAATTTAAAACAACACATTTTTTATGAAAAATATAAAACTACCACTTTTGCATTCTTGGTTGAATACTGCAATTTCACAATACATTGTGCACATTGAAATGCGATTTTATTTATCAAAAACATCTTTAGTAACAGTACAGCTCAAAAAAACATGAAATTACCAATATTCAGTCATTTTTGACCTTCAAAACAGCAAACTCACGTAGTTTAACCTAATACGTGTTATATGTTTCCTAATTATAAAACTATTTTTGAGGTACTTTATTTTATACAAACTCTGCTGGCAATATTAAGTTTTGCCAATATATACCTGGATAATCCTTCACAAAACAATTTCCACAAGATTCAAATATTCTTTATTTAATTGTAGTATTTATAATTACCAAATACTTATTACATTATAAGTAAAAAAGCTGATGCTAAAATAAGTTCAAATACTCTACTATATAGAAAACAAAGTTTAAAATACCTAAAAAAGCTTAAAAATACACCCTATAGGTAAAACACAGCCATTTAAAAGTATTTGATTAAAAATGAAACACTCATTATAAAGCTAGACAAGTTCAATACTTCGTTTTATAAAAAAGCATGCTGCATTGTGTCGGACAAAAAAAATCTATGATACATGTAAGCTTTCTTTGCCCACTAACTTCAATCAAAATTGCTCCCCCCACAAATAAAAATCAATGTTTGAAAAAAGCTTAAAAATACACCCTATAGGTAAAACACAGCCATTTAAAAGTATTTGATTAAAAATGAAACACTCATTGTAAAGCTAGACAAGTTCAATACTTCGTTTTATAAAAAAGCATGCTGCATTGTGTCGGACAAAAAAAATCTATGATACATGTAGCTTTCTTTGCCCACTAACTTCAATCAAAATTGCTCCCCCCACAAATAAAAATCAATGTTTGTTTGAATAACCATGCAACGAATAATACTAATGATGATACTATAAGATGGATTCATTCAATATTGTTTCTAGTAAACAGAATTATTTTCCTTCCGTAAGACAATGCATTACAAACTACATGAATCTAAAGGTAATAAATTTTTAGAGTGTAAGAACAATAAGAAAACCTGTAATGATGGGTCTCCTTTAAAAGTAACCCTAAAGTGTCTTAATGCCTTTGTTTACTGTAATACACACATACACACTCACACAAGCACAATGTGATGTGTGCTTTCTATTTTTAGAAGGTTGCAATGCCACAACATTTATGTTTAGGACGTCATCAGGAAGAAGCAGGGTCCTGAAATCCAAAGACATGCACTGCCACCTTGGCTTTAAGAAGTAAGACCAACATCTACATTACAAAAAAAAGGCACCTTACACTGAACAACAGAACCTCAAGTATGAGACGAGGTCCGTGGTATGCATTAGGAATGATCCCATTACATAAAGACTCAAAGAGTTCCAAATTCTCTGGCCAGAGCTTCCCAGCCATGAGATGGAGATAGACGAGCCACAGAAAATTGATGGTTGGTGATATATTGGGTTAAAAATCAATTGCCTGTTTTGTTTTGTTTTTACAATGATTCGAAGATTCAAAGGAGTTGAAAGGATACTTAGATAGTACTTGTTGGGCTGTCTGTAAGCTTTGATACCAGGGTTATCCTGTACACAGGTGAGACTTTCTCATGGCTGCAGCAGCTAGAGGATGACCTGGAAGAACAAATTGCATGGAACCCCCTCGACCTGTCTCTGGAATCACCCAGGAAGCCTGCCACTCACCTCATAACTTGCTATCACAAAAATTCTTTGTTTTGGGTACACATGCACATTTAGTTCCTTCAATTTCCTCTTATTTCACAATTTTTATGTGATCGTAGAGGACTCATAATGCTGTTATTGTTATTTTCATTCTTACTTCTGCATTTGTTATGCAAAGAAAATGGAGTGATTTTTTTTTTTCCAGCAAGCCTTCTAATTCACTCCAGAATGCTGTACAAATACGATCATTTTCTAAGTTCACCTCATCAACAGACAAAATCACAATAAATTCAGTTTAAAGATCCTAACTGGCTTTTGTAAAAATTCTAGAATCAGGCAACACCACATTCTATAAAACAAATGTTCCGATGAGCTGAGTGGAGGCGATTGGCTTTATAGACAGAAAAGGCCTGAAGGAAGCAGAAACAGAACAAAAAGCAGATTGGTCATTTCAGTTACTTTCCTTGTAGGGTTAGAGCAAAGCGGGGACTTCCTTATTACGCCGGCCGACTCAGGCTTCCTAGACTCTCCTGCTCTTTAAAAAGCTGGGCCATTTCAAAGTTCAGTTTGATTACGCAGCACTTAGCACAAATGACTCTATTCTGGTTTGGTCTGGTTGGCTGGGGCCTAGTGCAGGAGGCTAGTTCAAAACAATGGCCTCCCATAAACTTTGTTTAACAGTTTTAACATGAAAAAAGCTGGGAAGTACACCTCTGGAAGTGATTCTCAGCTGGGGGCATTAACCACCCCTATCCCAGGCATTTGAGAAATATGTGGAAACATAAGCTGTAGCAGTACCTGGGAGCTGCTGTCAACAGGTAATGTCTGGGGTCAGAGATTCACAGGGCAAACCCACACAATTAATGAGTGTCCTGTCCTAAATGCCTACAGTGTACCCTTTGAGAAACACTGCCTAGAGCAGATATAGCTGTACTCACCGCAGCCACCTCACCAGTCCCCGTGATGGCTGGGAGTAATTATTAGAGGGAAACCACTGAGCCACAGTTTAGAAATCCAGTTGGTGGCCCCTCTCATAAATGGTTGACATAGCTCAGAAAGCTACAGATCCTAACTTGTGTGCTAATAAGGCTGGAGTTTGCCTGCATTATTATCTCTTAGAAAGCAAGGATTCTGTCTTTTCTCCCATGCAGAACATTCTAAGAATACTTATCCAATATTAACTGTAGGTTAAGTGCAATGACTTGTTTATAATAACTATTTGTGGCAAAATAAAAAACATGCCAAATTAAATAAAATATTATGTGTAATTGGTGGTAAGTAGTACAAAAGCACAGCTAGATAGGAGGAATAATACCTAGTGTTCCCTAGCACTGTAGGGTGACTATAATTAACATCAATTTATTCTATATTTTCAATTAGCTGGAAGAGAGGATTTTGAATGTTCCCAACACAAAGAAATGATAAATGTTTGAGGTAATGGGGAAAAAAAAAATCAGTGGTTGCCAGGGTTTCAGCAGGAAAGGGAGGAAGGGGAAGATGAACAGGTGGAGCACAGAGGATTTTGGGGGCAGCAAAACTACTCTATATGATACTACGATGACGTATACATGATATTATGCACTTGGCGAAACTCATAGAACTGTACAATACAAAGAGGGAACCCTAATGTAAAATTGAGTTAATAATATATCAATATTGGTTTATAATTGTAACAAATGTACCACACTAATGTAACACATTAATAATAGAAGAAACCGTGCATGTGGTGGGGGGAGGAGCACATATGGGAACTCTCTGTACTTTCTGCTCAATTCTCTGTAAACCTAAAACTGCTATATACATAAAGTCCATTACTTGGTGGGGTTGGGGATGGGGAAAAGAAAGCAACGATTCTGTCATTTCTATCATGCAGAACATTCTAAATATGTTTATTTAATATTAACTGTAGGTGAAGTCTTATTCAAGTGCAATAACGTGTTTACAACTATTCGCGGCAAAATAAATAAATGCCAAATGAAAGAAAAGATCATGTGAAATTGGTTTTCAGTGGTAAGATGCAAACCTCCCAAACAATTGGTTTCCTCCGTCTTTCTGTTTCAATTAATTCCAACCAAAATGTTTAAATGCTTGACTCTGGTGAAGTTCTCTTAAGCATTACCTGGCTTCCTGAAGAACTTGCCCCATCACTTTGTTTTTTTCTCCTTGGTTAGCATCTTCATTTAAGTCAGTTCCACCAAAGATGATTCCAAAAGGAATTCCATGACCTACAAAAGGATGACAGTTACAAAGCAGAATTGAGCTTTGGATCCACTCCCCACCGACCCAGTCCAAACAATGATATTAAAAACTGATGTTCCCAGAACACAGGGGCTATGCTTTGTTGTTTAATTTTACCCAACTCTCCTGAAGAGCTCAACAGGTATCACTATTATGAACACAACGCTGAGATTAATCATGAGAGACACCAACTGTTGCTGTCAGGACTATTTTTCAATTAATTTGCCTTACATTTTAACAAATGAAAAAGACTGTGAGCCACCAACAACAAAGCCAAGTTTCTCATTCCTAGGAAATGGGCTAATCTAGAACTATCAAGGTTTGTGACAGAAAAAGGGCACTCCAAATTTAGCCCTGTGGTTCACTATCACCAGCAGGCACAATGCTGGCTAGAAACTAGGAGGGGGAGGGAGGGAGACACAGTCAGTCATTGACGATAGCTTCAAAGAAGGTGCAGTACAGCAGGACTGATAAATTATGGATGGCACCACTAAAGTGAGAGCCAAAAATTTCAAAATACTAAGTGTGTAAAGTGGGAGAGAATTTACAAGGGGGTCCTGCACTGGCAGAAGGCAGAAGATGAGGCTAGTCCCTGGCTTACACAATAAACATTCCATGAGCACAGATGCGTGAGGCGTCAAGCATGCTCATATCGAGTTAAAGGATGTGCTCATTAAGGGCAACTCCCCAAAAGGACTTCCAAAGTTCAATTAAAAATTTCAAGAGACTATGGCCTGCAGACCCAACAGACCAGATCTGACTTGAGTTCCCAGTAAGATTTCTCAAACAAGCTACTTCTATTGAGATTCGATACTTAGAAGGGAAGATACAGATCTTTCCTTTTACTGAACTTAAAATCGTTTTTGTCATGTGAATTAGCAGATTCTATCCTTTTCTCTCTGTCTAGGTCACTCTCACCCTAGAATTGCACTGCTAAGAATTCAGCCTCGAGATACTAAGCACAAGAGTATGGTAAGGCTGCTAGAAGTAACAAAATTTGAGAAACAAACTACATGTGCATTCATGAAGACGAGCCCTTTCTTTAGGAGCGGTGTACATGTGTGCACGTGCTCATATAGAAAGACTGACAAAATTTACTGTTAAGTGAAAACACCAAATGCATGTGTGTTGACACAATATGCATGTATAAAAATGATAAACGTATTTCTACATGCACAGAACATCTGTGAAAAGATACATAAAATACTAGCTGTTGTCACCTCTGGAGAAAAGACCCTGGAAGACTAAAGATCTGGGATTGGAGTGAGACTTACTTTTCACTCTATAACATTTTATATTGTTTGAAATCCTTACTATGGACTTATGCAAACTTTCACAAAAATGTAGACAGACACAGAAAAGCCAGTACAGATGACTTGCCACGAGCAATAGGTTTAGGCTTTTGGAGATGTTGGGATAGGGTAAATGATTTCACATGTGAGAAGGACATGAAGCTTTGGGAACCAGAAGGAGGTCTGTGGTAGGCAGAATAACTGCACCCAAAGATGTCCATATCCTAATTCCCAGAGCCCATAAATATGTTATTGGGAAGGGAAATTAAGGTAGCTGATAGAATTGAGGTTGCTAATCAACTAGCCTTAAAATGGAGGAGATTATCCTAGATTATCCAGGTGGGCCCAATTTAATCACAAGGGAAACTACAAGTCAAAGAGGAAGGCAGGAGAGTCAATGTCAGAGAGATACAGTGTGACAAAGACTTCACCAGTAACTGGTGGCCTTGAAGACATAGGAAGGGACCATGAGCCAAGGAATATGGGTGTCCCTAGAAGATGGAAAAGACAAGAGAACAGATTCTCCCCAAGAGCCTCCAAAAAGGAACACAGTCCTGTTGACACCTTAATTTCAGCCTAGGAGACCCATTTCTGTTTTTTGACCTCCAGAACTACAGAACAACAAATTTCTGATGTTTTATACCATTGGGTTTGTGGCAAATTGTTACAGAAGCAATAGGAAATTAATACATCCTATTATCACAAAGGAAAGTTTCCCTAATAAAAACTACTACTGAATGAGGCTAAGGAAAATAGCAGAAAAGTCTTTCTCAGGAAAATATCAAAGAGAGAAAAACAGATACCTAAAAAAATATACATTAAGTAACAAAGAAGCTGTTTAAAAGGTATGACCACATTTAATAATTGAGATGATCAGCCTTTCTTACTCAATAAGCCACTTAACAATAATTCAAATCTAATTTAGCAGGGAAAGCTCAGGACTTTGACTCCACACAGCCCTGGGTTAGAATTACGCTTCTTCGCCTGAAAGATGTATGACTTTGGACAAGTTACTCAGTTTTTCTGAACCCCAGCCATCTCATCTGTGAAATGGAGATAATATTAATTAGCTGACTGATTGGTGAGAATAAATGACAGACTATATTTAACATAACTGGTACAAAGCAGATCCCATAACTGATAGCCAGATTCACAATGTTTTATACTAAAGTTTTAAATACATAAGAAATTTTTTGAATTAAATAGAAGAATGGAATTTAGGCTGTATTACTTACTTCTGTATTTACTTGATGCCCATTCTATTGTTAAGAAAACAAAGCTTTAAGTAAGTAGCATGTTAGCCTGAATAGCAAAAGACTTTTATAAATTCACCCATAATTGCGACTAAAAACTTTTAGAAGTCCTCTGTTGTAGCATAATGCATAGAAAATATACTTGAAAATTCTTTTTTTATTATTGTATATGTTTATGATGTACACATGATGTTTTGAAACACCTATTCATTGTGGAATGGCTAAATTAAGTTAGTTAACATAAGCATTATTTCACATGTTTATTTGTAGTAAGAACAGGTAAATCTACTCTCAGCAATTTTCGAGTATGCAATAAATTGTTTTTAACTATAGTTACCGTGTTGTGCAATAGATCAAGGACTTATTTCTCCTGTCCAGCATCTCCCCAACATCCTTGACCAACGTCTCCCCTACCTCCCTCCCACCCCAGCCCCTGGTAACCACCATTCTCCTCTCTACTTCTATGAATCTGACATTTTAGATTCCACATATGAGGCTATTTCAAAAAGTTCGTGAAAAAATAGAATTAAAACATAATGTAAATCTTTCCATGAACTTTTTGAAGACCCTTGTGTAAGTGAGATCATGCAGTTACTTATCTTTCTGTGTCTGGCTCGTTTCATTCAATGTCCTCCAGACTCATCCATGTTGTTGCAAATGGCAGAGTCCCGTCTTTTTTAAGTCTGGATAATATTCTATTACACATATATACACTACTTTTTCTTTATCCTTTCATCTGTCAATGGACGCAGTTGATTGCATGTCATGTTTATCGTAAATAGTGCTGCGATAAACATGGAGTACAAATATCTCTTCAACATCCTGATTTCATTTCCTTTGGAGGATATATATCCAGAAGAGGGATTGCTGGATTATACAGTAGTTCTATTTTTAATTTTTGAGGATATATTTGAAAACTCTTATGCACCCTTCAAAACTCTATTCAGTCATGCCCTCCTCTCAGAAATCTTCTCTCAGTCCCTCAGAGTAAATCCTTCCCTTTCTGTGCCACGTCTTGTATCATAAGGTTTTAGGTTTTATTTGTAGACTGGAAGACCCTCTTATTTATTTCTTTACCTCTTGCTCCTAATATGATGTCTGCTACAAGTTAAGTCCTTAAGTAGCATTCATTGAAATGAACTGAGCCCGAAAAGTGGTATACAAACTATTTTCCAAGTGGGTTTACTCAAAGCCACCCATGTGATGGTCTTATTTCATAAATCAGTTTTTGTGCTGAAGATGTCACCCCAGTAGCTTGCTGAGAGAAAAAAAAAAATCGCAATTTCCTAAACTTGGCTTCTTCATCAGCCACCTGATCCTATCTGCTTCCTTATTAGGTCCAAGCCTAAAGCATATTCTCAACAAAAAACAAAGGAAGGGCTTCATTAAGACACTCTCAGCCAGCATCAAATTAATTGTCAAGTTTTCTCTTGTATGCCGTTTAGGGCACATAAAAGACAGTCTAGAAAGCACACTGCATGGGAGCAGGAATCTATTATACCTTAGATAAAGCTAGCTATAAATTTCTGTTCTTACACGTGTACACTTGAAAGACTGATTGGTATATACATCAAAATCTTATATAGACATGCTCAAGAGGGAGAAACAAATACAATGTGTTACTTCAAAGTTTATATAGTAATTGGTTCATAACTTAAAGCATGAAAATTGATATTGTCTTTAAAAATACCTGAATTAGGCTGACCAGTTAGCTCAGTTGGTTAGGACACAGCTTTGTAACACCAAGGTCATGGGTTTGGATCCCTGTATCAGCCAGCCACCAAAAAAATAAAATAAATAAAAACGCCTGAATTATACCTGTAATATATCTATACCATGTACTAGTGTTGTTAATGTGCTATTTCCCATTATTTGCATATTCTTCTTAGCAATTTTATTTACTTAATTATTTGTTCAGCAAATAGTGATTTCAAAACAGAAAAGTGAACTTCCTCTTGTCCAAGTTGTTAAGGCTTTGTTTAGATGTATTTTATATACACAGTCATAAATGTGGCTGGTTATTACTTGGCAATATGTATCAAGAGCTTTAAAACTGCATATACACCTTAATCCTGCAATGCTATTTCTAGCAAATCTTAAAAAAAAAAATGGGCTCCAAAGGTTTATGTAAAAGTCTGTTCATTACAACACTGTTTATAACTGAGGGACAAAAATGGAAATAAGCTGTAACCATTCATAACAATGCTGAAGCAGACCATTCAGTGACAGAGGAAATGTTGGGTGAGAATAGGTTACTACACTATGAGTATAGTATGATTGCAATTTAAAAAATACACATACAAACTGCAGAGAGAGGAAGAGACACGGCAACATCTCTGCAGGTAAAGCATTTCACACAGTGCTTAGCACCAAGTAAACAGTCCACAAGTATTAAAAGAAGTTGCAAGTTTACATTGTAAGACTCTTATCTTTTTTGCAAACTTAATGTTGAATAAAAATATAAAACAAATAAAACCAAACACGCTTAAACAAACAGTGGTCATCTCTGGGTGGTAAAACTGCAGGTGCCATATTTTCTTCCTTGTATTTTTAAGCAGTTTCCAAATCATCTACTAATGTAATTTTTAAAATCAATAAATGCTATATATTTTAAAAAACAGCTTAATCAATAGAAAACTGCCTAAAAACTTATGGTGCATCCATAGAATGAAATACTACACAGCCAGTTAATAACAGCATAGGGCTGCTCAATGCATATAACTGGTTTAGAAAAAGCTCTTTATTGTAGTGTTTAGTGAAAACCTCAGTGTGCATGGTGATAGCTCTTCTTACTGAAAATATTTATAATGCTTTTTACACGTTATACTACTCAGAGAAAGTCTGACTTTCAAAAAGGTAACCCTTAGGAAGAAACGTTATTTAATTTCCATATTAAACAATTCCAAAATTGTTTATTTCCAACAATTAGAAATAAACAAACAAATAAAAGTTTAACTAAATTTACTAAGACATGCTGCTTCAGTTCTCAATATTAGATTGAGCAATACAATTGATTTTTCCCCATGCAACAGGTTTGTTTTGAAGAGAGTGTGTGGGTTTACTCAAAGCCACCCATGTGATGGTCTTATTTCATAAACCAGTGTTTGCTCTGAAGATGTCACCCCAGTAGAAAACCTAACTCCAGATGACCTTGCGTTTATTTGAAGCAGAGGTCAAGAATGGTAAAATTGAGAAGAACTGAAGTTTCAAGAAAGAAAAAAACCAAAAAAACCCCAGCAATTTGTCTAGAGTGAGAGGAAATAGGTTCTTGCCAATCTGTTAGTGGGACATAAACTGAAATAACCCTTCTGTATGGCAATTTGTCGTGCCAATCAAAGTAAAAAAATACACAGCCCTTTGGCCTACAGATTTACCTAGGAACGTACCCTACTAATATTCTCACACAAGGAGGTTAAGAAATATAATCAAAGGTACTGCAGCACTGCTTGGAACAGCACACAAAAAGAGAATTTTAATAAGTATGGTGCATTCGTACAGTGGAATATCATGCTGCTACTAAAACGAATAAGGCAGATATAGCTTTGCAAATTTGGAAAGCTCTGTAAGGTATGTAATTAAATATGTAGAATAATCACACTTGTGGGAATAAAACATTTCATGGGTGTATGAAAAACATTTTTAAAAATAACAGATAAAATTTTACAGACAGCAATACAACTGATAATCAACAGAATCATGGAACTTAGTGCTGAAGCCTAGTGACTGCAGAAGAGAGTTACAGAAATCACTGATGACCTTTTAAAAGTTCCTGCTGAGCTATGGGAGGGTATGAATTTTATCTTGGCCTCTATGAGAAAAGTTAAACTCTATGCTTGTGTAGGATAAACCTCAGGCACTATTTGTGTACCACTATATTTACAACAGAATCCCAAGCCATAGACAAGGGGTCTTCAAAAAGTTCATGAAGTTTTTTGGCCAGCTGCCAAAAATAAAAAGGAAAAAGGAAAAGTTGATGTAAAGAGTTGTATTATCTTTTAATACAAATTTTCCACAAACTTTTTGAAGTAACCTCGTGCTTGTTCAGCAAAAAATAACTCTCTGAAGGTAATAATTTCAGAAATGTTATCTCCGTTTATAGAAAACAGTTTGAATATTTCAGGCAGGGTCACAAAAATATGGAAGTACAGATACACCCTTCCAAGTTCATATGCTAAGATGTCTGCACAAGGACATTCACTGAAATGTTTAGAGAAAATTAAAGAAAACTTACATGTCTATTAATTGAAGACGTTAAATTATGGCACTTCCATACAATGGATGAAGTAAATCTCTATATATGCTACTACAGAAAAGGAGTTCCCAGATGTGTTAAGTGGCAAATAGCAAGATGCTGAAAATATATAATATGCTCCTATTTATGTTTTTTAAGGCAAGGGGAGGAGGCCTATACAAATATGTGCAAGGGTATACATGAAAGCCAATCTCCAAGATGGTCACCTCCTCTTACACACACTCCATGTGGTCCACTCCCACACTGACCAGTGCCGACCTACATAACCCATAGGATATTGTGCAATCCATGTGGCATGACTTCTGAGGCTGGGTCATAAAAGATAAAGCAATTTCTAATTAGCTCTCTCTTGAACTGTTCTCTCTGGGAGAAGCTGACCACCATGTCATGAGGACACTCAAGCAACTGTGGAGAGGCCCATGTGGTGAGGAACCGAGGCCTCCTGCCAACAGCTGTGTGAGTGTCCAGCACGGATGGGACTCATCCAGTACTGGTCAAGCCACCAGATGACATAGCAGCCCCAGCCATCAGGTTGACTGCAGCTTCATGAGAGACTTGGACATAGATCACCCAGCTAAACTGCTTCTGATTGCCTTCTCAATTCCCACAGGAACTATTAGATGATAAATGTATTGCTATAAGCAACTAAGTTTGGGGGCAATTTGTTGTGCTAAAATAGATAATACAGTGTGAGAGTTCTTCAAAAACTTCATAGAAAGATTTGTATTACCTTTTCATTCTATTTCTCCATGAACTTTTAAAAATACCCTTGTATATATAACATAATATATTTCTGGGAAAATACACACAACAGAATAATAACTGTGGTTGCTCAGGGGATGAGAAATGAGACAGTGAGGTTAGAAGGTGGGAGGAAGATTTACTTTTTATACTTCACCATCTAGTTGCACTTCATTCCATGCTGGGGGAATTTTTTACCATATGCATGTCTTACTTTAGTTTAAAAAACAGAAAGAAAAAAAAAAGCACATAATTGAATGTGCCCATATAGGATAGAGAGTCCTAAGAGGCCTGAAATTCCTACGGTGCAGGAGGCAGGAGAGCAGGAGCTTAAATGAGGTTCAGTACAGCATGGAGAAATGAAAAGTCACCTTTAGCAATGAAACTTCTGAACATTTCAGAAGCTTGACACATTTTGCTGACTAAGATTTGATCCTAGTGTGATGATGACATGCTATCTCCTGGAATGTTACTGCACAAATGATACCACTGCTGTGTCATTTAATTCACTCATTGCTTGACTACCACAAAAATATCTGTCTTGACTTTACTTGTTGGCTGCTGTGCTCTCACTGAACTCAAATGGGCCTTGGGAGTGCTATATATATATATGTATATTTATCTACAAACTATAAATGAGGCTGAGAATAAAATAAGAGAAAATAAGAACCATATGCACATCCCTTCAGTGTCCGAAGAAGTTGTTTATAGAAGGCCCCCCAAGGATTAATTTTCTAAGAGAACGTGTTGTTGTTTGACCTGTGTTAATTTACTATTAATTAGGAGCTCTTACACTCTGTGAAGTTACATTAAGTAATTTGTAGCTTTGTCTCCAGTACAAATGCAAATCATTTCTGTCCAGTAGAAAAGTTAGCCCCACAGCTTATGTATGGTTCATTGCCCTGTTGGATGTTAATCAGTTTCGTAGCTAACCTAACAATCTTATTCTGACATTCTCTATTAAATTGCCTATTTAAACCCCAGTTGCTCAAATGTTCTTTAAACCAGCTTTAGCATCTTGTAAGTTTCCTCGTTAATTAATGGGTTGAATAAAATTTTCCACAAATGCTCATTTCATATTTGTGAAAGAGTCCTAATTTTAACTTTTGAAAATTAGACTTCAATATAGGAAATATGCACTGAAAAAATTCAGAATAATACCCTTAATAAAGTAACAACAGCTTCAATATACATCCATTCTCAAATGGCTTAGTTGTATCATTTGAGAAAATTACTCAGTAGAAAAACAAACCAAAGAGATTACTGTGTCCCTTCCATTTTTGAATCAAATAAACAGGAGACACTGTTTCATGGACTACTTGACATTGTAAGTGCTTCTGTTTTTCAGGAGTTCTAGTGTGTTACTTTTGAAAAGAAAGAGGGTTACCTTGCAAAAGTCTGCCTCCTCTATAGAGATGTAGAGCCAGAGCGGCCTCCAAGTTCTCTGCTGTGATGAGGTCTGCGACTTCTGATGGGCTTCCAAAGTCAAAGGCATCTTTCAGAATGCACACGTGTCCTGCAGCTTCTAGATGGCTCCTAAACCAAAAAACACAAACGGAGAATGGAAAAGGGGAGGGATGACATTAATATGCCATAGTTTGCTGCTACGATTCAGACTTTAAATCAGCGCCACTAATACTTATTTACTGAATTTCCCTTTAGAGGCAATCTGCCTTAAAATACGGGACAAGGCTCATAGTCAATGACAATATCCATTCATCCACGAGTCTCACATACCCAAGACTGTGGATGGTACCATGGCCTGGGAGTGAAGGCTCATTCAGGATGGCCTGGCAGCCATGAGATTCAGGCAAACACTGCCAATTTTCAGTGCATTTGCTTTATCGGAAAATTCCTTCTCTATTCCCATGATTCCACATTTTTTCCTGTCCCTTAAATATGAATGATACACAAAGTTTATTTTTATTCCTCTATTACTTTATTCCTAAAAAAAAACTTCGAAAGTCACCTATTATCATAGCTTCAAAATATCGCATGGCTTTTCTATTCTACCTCCCAAACATCTTTTAAACACGTCTCTTCTCTTTCTCCTCAGTGCAATTCCTGGTAACAAAAATCTAAAACACAAATCTGATAAACAAATATGAAACTTTCTGAATGGCAACAATAGCATGAATAAAATCAAAAGACAAATGAGAAATTTTAAAAGAAAACCTATTTGCAACACTTACTAGTTTGCTTAATATGTAAAGAGCTCTCATAAGAGAGCTCAATAAGAAAAAAAAAAAAAAAAGACTAATAAGCCCAATAAAAAAATAGGGATGGGCATAAAATTGCAGCTTATAGAAAAAGAAATGACTGGACTTTTTTTTTTACCGAAAGATGAATGGTAAGGGGACCTTAACCCTTGACTTGTTGTTGTCAGCACTATGCTCACCCAGTAAGCTAACCAGCCATCCCTATATGGGATCCGAACCCATGGCCTTGGTGTTATCAGCACCACACTCTGCTGAGTGAGCCACGGGCCGGCCCTGAAATAACTGGACTTTTAAATAAAGGAAATGATGCTCAACTTCAGTCATCTTTTTTTCACTTAGAATATCCGTAAAGGTTGAAAAATTTGCCTGAGGCTTTATGAAATAAACACTCCTATACATTATTTGTATGAGGGTAGATTGGCACAACCTCTTTGGTATGCAGTGCAACAACAACCAGCAAATTTAAAATGTACATACTCTATGACCATATAGCTCCACTTCTAGGAACTTACTACAAAGATATGCTTACTATATGTGCAAAAACATGCACCCAAGAATAGGCACTGCAGCTGTGTTTCAAGTTGCAAAAAGACTAAAAACCACCTCAACATTCATGTATAGGGGCACTGGTTCTATTATGGTACATCCATGCAGCAGGCTCTTCTGCCATTCAAAGAACACAGTAGATCATTATGAAGTAATTTACAATGAACTCCAAGATATATTATAAATGAAAAGAGAACAAAGTGAAGAATACTTTGTGTATATACACTGTATGTGCACAGAATATTTCTAGAGGGATACATAAGAAATAGATAGCGATGATTATGTCTAAAGAGGAGAACCAGGGACTAAGATGGGAAGGAGACTGTCTTCTTACCACACACCCTTTTGTTATTATTGAATTTTTTTTTTACCATGTGCATGTATTATCTTGTATAATTGTTTGAGGTGTGTGTGTGTGTGTGTGTGCGCATATATACATATAACAGGTCTCTGCCTTGATTAAAATCCTCAAACAGCTCACTGTAACCAGTTTGACTGTAACTTACATGAGAATGGGGCCCACCCCTATCTTGCTCAAAGAATAAACAAATGGCTGAATGTGTCTCTGGGATAAAGTCTAAACGTCTTAGTCTAGCACACGGTATTCCCTGTGTGTCTATCTGCCCCACTCCTACCATCCTAACTCCAGTCCTGCCCTTCCGCCTTCTTGAGACTCTATGCCTGTGATATGACACTTCCTCAGGCCAGCTCCTGTCAGAGAACTCTCCTGACAGCCCCTGACCCCACCACACCACAGTCCTTCTCAACACTTCCATCACTTCTGAGCCTACCTCTATTCTAATCCCTCCGTACCACGCTCATGTGAACGATGGAGTCACATCTTACTTAGGGCTTTGGTTACAAAATCAGCACATAGGTGAAAATAAAGAACACTTAAAATTACCATTGAAATTCCCTTAAATCATCCAGACAGTATGAAGTTCAAGTCCAAAATAGCTTTTTCTGTTTCTTTCTTTCTTTCTTTCTTTCTTTTTTAACTCCGGCAATGAAATAGTTATTTCTTCAGCCAAACACGAGATAAATTAGCTGGCTTGTATTTAGGGGCAATATTGTACAAAATCATGAGGCAAGAATAGAAAAAAGAGGAGGAGGGAGACAAGCAGAGGGGAAGAAGGGGGAGGGAAAAGAGATCTAGTATCCTTAAGCCCTGCGATCATAAAATAATCAAGTCACTTGCACTGTGGGAGTCATGTGGAAACAAAGTTTCTCGAAAGAAACATTAGATTCAAATCTTCAAATTCACATCCACTCTGGGGTTTATGGTGACATTCATCTTCTGTACTAATATATGAATGATAATTTTCTCTCTCTTTTTGTTTCCTTTTTGTGATGCAAATTAAATACACAATGTTGCAACATCACTGTGCAAGTAAAGAAAAACTAAGGTCTTGGGACTTCAGTTGGTTTATCCTCTTGGAGCACATTGCATATATCTCAATCTTAACCATTTCACTGTTAATTTTGATACAGTCATTGCTAGTCAATAGCACCACCCCTCTCCCCCCAAACTCAGCATCCTTTGGATATGCTGATGACATCTGACAAACAGCACCAGGAAAGAAGCCTGTAGGCAGTCTACCTACTGGCTCACTTCAGCCTAAAAAAATATATCGTACAAAAATAAGAATTCAGCATGCTTCTGAGCACAAGTGAATAATTGCTATTCCATCTTCTTAAAGCTCTAAGAAATTGAGAAACAACAACAACAACAAAAAACAACAGTGTTGATAAATGGAAAAGAAAGGGTTTGAATTCTACTTAGAGAATCCATTCATGAGAAATGTATGACTTATGCAGAATCAGCACAGCGGAGCATATGAAATGGAGGTGGTAGGTATAGATAATGGCTTACTCTTGATCTATTAAGCATATTTTCAAATGGCATTTGGACACTGTTTTAGTCCATTTTGTGTTGCTATAACAGAATACCTGAGACTGGGTAATTTATAAAGAAGAGAGGTTTATTTGGCTTACGATTCTGGGACAGCTGCATCTGGCGTGGGCCTCAGGCTGCTTCTACTCATGGCGGAAAGTGGCAGGCAGCCAGTCCTATAAACTACCAGCTCTCAAGGGAACTAATAGAGCGAGATCTCTCTCAGGACCCCCGCCCCCAGGGAGAGCATTAATCCATTCATGAGGGATCCACCCCATGACTCAATCAGTTTCCAACACGGCCCACATTGGAGATCAAATTTCCACATGAGTTTTGGCAGGGACAACACATCCAAACTCCATCAGACACTAACTTTATGATCTCATAAATATTCTAAATAATTTTTTTAATCTTAATTCTCTATGGACTAAAATTTCACCCTCATTTTTAGTTGACTTGTAACACATTTAAATCACTCTATCCTTATTCCTTCCATCAAGTAATAATTCAATTCAACTAATAAATTCACTGAGCACCTATTATGCCCAAAGAACTCTAATCTATTTGACTTTTTTTTTTAAAAAAAAAGGCTTATTTGAGAAAGAAAGCATCACCAGTAAAGTAAGACACTTTGAGCATATACCTAGCAGTTCTAGGAAAAGAAGAACTCCATTTGTGCATCCCTGAATCAAGATTTCATGGTAGGACCTGCCTCCGCCAGGCTGACAGCCATCCTCTCTCACTGGAGGTTGATCATTTCTGTGTTTAACTTATGAGGATTTTCATAGACTACAATGTCTGGGTTAGAAAAAAAAAAAAGGTAGCAAGAGCAAATCAAGTAGGGCAGGCAACAACAACTGCATTCCATTCCATATTCATGGACCCCTGCATGATCCTGAGATGGGAGATAGGAATCTGATATTCCTCTGGCCAGGCCAGCCCATGAGCCTCTCAGTGACTGCCTAGCAGGACCTGTGCTTCGCATCACACCTGCTGGTGAGACTGCAAGCCCCTGCATGATCCTGAGATGGGAGATAGGAATCTGATATTCCTCTGGCCAGGCCAGCCCATGGGCCTCTCAGTGACTGCCTAGCAGGACCTGTGCTTCGCATCACACCTGCTGGTGAGACTGCAACCTCATCTGTAGCTCACCTGAAGAAACAGTAATCTGTAGTTTCATCAATGAGAAAAAAGCTGCTTGTGTTGGACTGTAAAATGTTACTCTCTGAACAATATGTCAAGAATATGCGATATATAAAGGAAATAATGCTGGTCTTGGAATGAAAAGATAAAGTCTTTGAGTAAACACACAAATTCACAAGTCCGTTTAGAGTGGTAAACTGGAAAGAAGGCAACCCCCTTACTCTTTCTGTAAATTAAGTGAGATGACAGCAACCCATTTGCACAATATTGGTGTCACCTCGGATGTTATCTCTGTAAATGTGTTACATAAATTGTAAAATGTATATGCTTTTTTATGGGATTCTGGCCCTCAAGAGATGACTGCTATGAGATCACTTTTTTTAAAGAATGCAAAAATATAATGACTTGTAAGGCAAAGGATTAAATCAGGAAGTGCCTGGAACACAGATGCCCACTGAGATCAGGCTAATGAAGAAAATGAATTGAGGAGGGCTAGGGATGAGGGAAAGCCATAAGACACCATGAGTGGGCTGGCTGGTTGGCTCAGACGGTTACAGTGCAGTGTTATAAGACACCATAAGCTCCACACCAAGCTGGAGAGGAAGCCCCACCTACAGGGGTTGGGCCCTAATCAAGTAAAATAAAGACACATGTGGCAACCAAGCACTTGAAATGCACCCAGTGTAAACAGAGGTATGCTAAGTATAAAATACACATACAGCTTGTTAATACAT